TTTTGAGCAAAAGAAGAGTGTGAGCAGGACTAGGGACAGAGAGGGAGTGGGAGAGAGAATACAAAGCAGCCTCCGTGGTGTCAGCCTGGAGCCCAACACAGGGCTCAATCTCACAAATCGTAAGATCATGACCCAAACCAAAACCAAAGGTCAGACGCTTAACTGACTGAGCCACCCAGGTGCCCTAAGAATAACCATTTTAGATCACAGTTTGATGCTTCCTAAAAAGTTACATATTTTCCAGCATTGGAACCCAAGATATTACCACAGCTAAATGAAACATGCATATGAAGAATTGTATTAAAATCTGTGTAGCAGTATTATTTGCAGTCGTCAAAAACTAGAAACAAATATTCATAAGCAAATTAACAAAATAATGGCATATCCACAGAACATATTTTTTCAACAACATAAAAAGCATGAACTACTCATACAAGCATCATTAATGAACCTCAAAATGAATACACTGCAACGAGGGTTCCCAGGGGGAAAAGAGTAAACACTTTATGACTTCAGTCATATAAAATTTTAGAAAAAAAATAAACTTCTCTATTATAAAGGAAACTAAATCAACAGCTGACTGGAGAGCAGAGGAAAGGAGATTATAAAAGGTAAGGAGGTAATTATGGAGTGATGAATAGGTTCATTATCATGATTGTGATAAAGGCTTCAGGAGTTGAAACGAATATCAAATCTTACTAAGTTTTACAATTTAAATATTGTAGTTTATTGCACATCATTTGTACCTTCTCAAAGCTTTAAAATACGATTCAAAATAAAAATGTGTAATTTCTTCCGTTTTTGGAGAATCAAGCTTGGCAACACTATATTGACTCCACCATTGGACTCTGCACGCCCTGGGAGGGACGACTTGCCTCAGTGGTGACAAATACTGGTGAGCAGTGAAGGCCATTTCCACCTGATTCAATAGGAATGCAGGCTGGTCACAAAGGCCACAGAGCTAAACTACAAGATCTCCCTCCTCCTCGTGCTCATCATCTACCTGTACAGCAGTGGGCTTGAGGTGAAAAGCCCAGATAGGCTACAGGAAACAACAAAACCTTTAGATTATTTTCTCTGACAAGCCGTCAGACACCCAAGATGCACAGTTCTGGAGGTCCTGAGAATTTGTGCACCTGCTCATCCTTCACAGCCACAGAGACTAAATACTGTGCACACCCTTTAAAAGAGGTACATTTCAACCAATTTGTTGCAGTCTCCTTCCTCCGCTTCATAGAAATCCAGTGTTTGTGTAACATGTATGATTGCCCCTATAATCTTAAACCAGTGACACTGGCCCAAGGAATTCAGGACATCGGGGCCTGTGGTTCCACTGTGGACTTGGGAACAGGCTCCCCTCGCCAGTACTAAGCAAGATGCAATACCTCGTGAGCAAGAGAAGAACTTCATGTGGCTCTGAAAACACTAAAGGTTGGCCTAACAACTGTTCCCTCCATAGGCTGACCTCTAACCCAGAGTATGCTGGGCAAATTCAAACAGCATCCAATAATAAGTCAGACTTCCCGTGGCTCCCATTAGCAATGGTAGCCTCAAATCATTCTATGATGGTCCAACTACATACCTTGCCTCAGATTTAGCCACTCAGAACCACGTGTGGGTCTCAGACACTCAAGGTCCTACACTGCTTTTGCCGCACTTGCTGTGCCCTCAGTAATTACAACTTTCCTCTGTCCATCCAGTCCTCATTCCAAGCCAGCCCCACTGACTACCCACCTCAGGCCTAGTGATTCTCACAGATGACCAGATTTGCCCCTCACCATACACCAGGCTGAAGGAAAACACCCCAGGTTCCATCAAAGTCCAAACAAAATCTTGGTGAGTCCGTAAAGTGGAGAATAAGCACCTATTCCAGCCTGAGTGTTATTTGCCTCAGTTACCCCTTGCCTCCGCATCCATCTCATGTCCACTCTTCCCTTGGAAGCCTTGACCATCTGCCAGACTATCCTGTCTGATGCCTTCATGGTCACTTGTCTCCCTTATCTGTGGATATGAAACCCAACACCATCACCCCGGGAGCGCAAGCAAATGACCCAGTCCTTGGGCCCCCACCCTTCCCTTCTTCACCTCCTAATAGCATTGCCACCATAACCTGAAGTTGCCTTTCTTAAATGTGACCACAGCACACTCACCTTGGTCTTCACAATATCTTGTACATTTTAGATGTATCCAATCTGAATTCCTCCCCAGATTTCTCAACCTGTGTGTCCAGCTTCCCATTTTAGGGCTCCATTTCATGGTCTCTGATATAGCTTAGACTCTTTAATAAGGTCAACAGAGACCTCCTTATACCCCCAGTAAATATTACACCAGTTACCAAGTAGCTCGTCTCAAATGATACAACTTTCATCCCAACTGCTGTTAAGACCCTTGTGTACCCTGGGGTCATCATCTATTACTCTGTTTCATTCCCTTGCCCTCCACATTAGAAAATCTACTTGCCCTTTAAAGTAGGCAACCAGTGGGGTGCCTGGGTGGTTCAGTCGGTTGAGTGTCCAACTTTGGCTCATGTCATGATCTTGCGGTTCGTGTGTTCGAGTCCCGTATTGGGCTCTGTGCTGACAGCTCAGAGCCTGGGGTCTGCTTCGGATTCTGTGTCTCCCCCTCTCTCTACCCTCCCCCTGAAAAATAAATAAGCATTTTAAAAACTTTTTTTTTTATTTTAAATAGGGAGCCAGAGGGATGCCTGGGTGGCTCAGTCAACTGAGTGTCTGACTTTGGCTCAGGTCATGGTCTCACAATTTGTGAGATAGAACCCCACATCAGGCTCTCTACTGTCAGCTCAGAGCCTGCTTCAGATCCTGTGTCCCCTCCCCCATACCCCTCCCCTGCTTACACTCTCTCTCTTAAAAATAAACAGTAAAAAAAAAAAAAAAAAAAAAAATAGGCGGCCAGATTCCAACCACAACTCCTAAGTCACAACTCTGTCATTAACTTGCACCTGGACAATGGTAGTAGCCTTAACCCTGATCTTCCTTCCTCCTCTCTCAAGTCCACAGACTGTTCTCTGCTCTGCACCCAGATGGAGTCTGTTATAAGATCTTCATATCACTTCCTCATTCTGATCAGTTTTACCTCTAAGCATATACACATCCTGGTAGAGCTCCTAGGTTAACTTTCCACACTGGTTTACATTAGTCCCCAGTCATGGGAATACCACTATGTACAGCCTGCAATGGACTTAGAACCCTGGGCTGGGGGCTTCTCCAGTGTCCCCAGAGTCGAGGACTGGAGGAACAGCATTAAGAGTCCCAGAAAATACCGGGGTGGGGAGCTAGCAATATCGAGGGCCTGGGACAGCCTCCACTGATCTCTGTGAATTCCGTAAGAGCTGCTTCAGTCATGGGAACATGTGTGAGGAGGCAAGACTTTGAGAAATGGGTCCATGGCAGGGTTTGAGGGGTTCCTGCCTCTCTGTTCCCTTCCCTAACCCCAGAGCCAGCTGATTTTAGGCTCACTGTCTCACTTCTCACTCAATGCTCAATGTTGCCTCTCACCAGCAGTGACTGATATGGGGAACAAAGGCAAAAGAAAAAAATTAAATTTCCTTACAACTCAGAGCCCACTGACAAGTCCCTGAGAGAGGCAGTGAAACCTTCCTCTACAAACTCAACTGCCTTGATGTTACTACTTTACTAGAGGTAAAAAGCAATCTTAGCTTAACATCATCCTGAACGTCCATGATCCTGTAAGTCTCCTTTAACATAAAAAATTCCTTTGGAAACTTCCTTTGTCTGTACCTTCCCAAGATACATGTTAGCAATCATTTTCCAAGCATGAGGTCCTCTGATATATCCGTGAAGGGCCTAATGACTAAGGTATTTGTTTGTTTGTTTGTTTTTCAAGTTTACTTATTTCTGAGAGAGAGAGCTAGGGAGAGAGAGAGGGAGACAGAATCTGAAGCAGGCTCTGAACTGTCAGTGCAAAGCCCAACACGGAGCTACAACGCAAGAGCCGTGAGATCATGACCTGAGCTGAAGTTCGACTCTCAAACGACTGAGCCACCCAGGCGCCCCTCATGACTACGGTTTTATGAGGCAGCAATAAATGGTCCTGGAAACCTGGCTTCCAAATTCCTTACAGACTTCCGCTATCCCTGACGCCCTCCCAACTTGAAAGTGTATATAATCAGTCACCCACCACAACCCAAGTGCAGCTCTTTCTGCCCACAGGTACTGTCGCTGTACTTTAGTAAAGCCACCTATTTGCACCAAAGCCTTCTCAGGAATTTTCCTGAACATTGGCTCTGAACCCACCCCAACATTTCCACATGAGCGAACTCAAGGAACTCCGCACCCTCCTCCAATCTGCTCTTCCTTTGAACTCCTTGGGGGAGTTAAAAAAAAAAAATTTTTTTTTAACATTTATTTTTGAGAGACAGAACGAGACTCAGCAGGAGTGGGGTAGGGGCAGTGAGGCGGGGGAGGGGGCGGAGACACAGAATCCGAAGCAGGTTCCAGGCTCCGAGCTGTCAGCACAGAGCCGGACGCGGGGCTCGAACTCACAGACCGCGAGATGGTGACCTGAGCCAAAGTCGGGCGCTTAATCGACTGAGCCACCCAGGCGCCCCAACCTTTGAGAAATTTTTAAATCCCAAACGGAGATTGTGTCCCTCCTTCGGCCAGAATTCTCCTTGGCGTCTAGAGTCCTCACATGAAGGGACAACCCGCCAGTGCCCCTGTGACCCCGCCGCACACCCTGTGTCCCCCGAGGGCAGAAGGCGAACCCCACATCCCCGATTCGACCCCCTTGAACGCCCCCTGCAGGCCTGCACCAGCCGCCCCCGCCCCAGCAGCCCGCTCCCGCACCCCGTCACGCCGGCGCTCAGATACGGGGTCCCCACCCGCGAGCGCCTGCCCCGCCGGGACACCGGACCTGGGCCTCAGGGACCTGGGCCGCAGGGACGCGAGCAGGTGCCCGGCGCTGCTCGCCTGGAGGGTCGGGGGGGCGGGGCGGGGAGGGTGCGGGGGTCGCGCGTTTACCTCAGCCGGGTCCCTGCGCGCGGCCGCCGCCATCGGACTCTGTGGGCGGGGCGAGCACCCGGGCGGGCGGTCCCCGTCCCGGGCGGCGGCGTCGCTGAGCCACGGACCCCTGTCTGCGCGGCGGAGACAGCGCTTCCTCCTCCCGTCCCTTCTGGGTCCCGTCACCTCGGTCCCCGGCCGGCTCTGAGGGCCCTCAGCAGGAAGGCCCATTCCCAGAGCAGCCAAACGACCGCCAAGCGGAGAACGCGGAAGTCCTGGCGCCTCACAGGAAACGCCTATTTTTCTGGGACTTCGTTAAGTTACCTACACTGCAGCTCTGCGCTGAGCTTTCAGGGTGTTCTAGTGCCCTGGATCCACAGGCAGGGGCTGGGTTGGTTCCTAACTGAATTCTGGTGGAAAGGAGGAAATCCTCAGGCACTTGGAGAGGGTGACTACTGGGCTGAGAGCAGAGGGGCTTCGCACCTTTCTAAAAGGGCTAGGTCAGATTTCCGGGGAGTACTGTCTGCAGCTAATCAACCAAGTGTTTGGAGACAGGATCTTGGATTCTAGAAGCTCAGCATGTTCCTAGTGACTAAAAATATTTCTAGATGCTTTACAAGTTCACAAATCCAGGGGCGCCTGGGGTGGCTCAGTTGGTTGAGCATCTGATCTGACTCTTGATTTCAGATGAGGTCATAATCCCAGGGTCATGGGATCCAGCCCTGCGGGGGGGAGGGAGGGGGGGGCTCCGCGCTGAGCATGGAGCCTACTTAAGATTCTGTCTCGTACTCTACCCCTCTCTCCTGCTAGCGCCCTAAAATTGAAAAAAAAAAAAAAAGGCACAAATCCAAATGCTTATCTTATCCCATAGAGTCATTCAAACACAAAATACATTCACTGGAAGCTGAATCTAAAGTAATCTAACCACACTCAAAATATGGTCACACATGGTAAGCCCCATGTCAGCACACCAAAATATAACTGAATTTCTTTGTTCAGCTTTCCTAGAGAAGGAATGCTTAGGTCAACCAATTAGTACTTGCCTGACCCACACGTCACCTGACTGGGCTCCAAGACTTTTCTTTGCTCCATTTAAGGAATGTAACTCTGCTGTAACCAATCAGCAAAAATGCCTTGTATGATTTGTCTGTTCCTGCTCCCTTCTGTCTATACAAATCATTCATTGGTACAGATCTCAGAGCTACTTCCTATCTGCTAGATTGGATGCTGCCCAATTCATGAATTGCCAAGTAAAGGCAATAAGATCTTTAAAATTTACTCAGTTGAATTTTGGTTTTTAATACCAATGAACAGTACCCACTGTAGCTCAATTGCATCACTCTGAAACTTTAAAATAATTTTTTTCAGTCACCTTTGTGTATATTTGGTCAGCAATAAGAGAAAAAATAATCCTCATAATGACATGGCAAGGAAGGTGGGGGGAGGGGGATGTTGGGCCATGCTGAAGCAGGAGTATAAAAATGGACCTTCATAGTTCCCACAGAAAACATTTCTCCTGCCTTTAATCATATACAATTTATTGAGCAACACATATCTGTTGAATCTCTCTCTCTTTATATTCTTCTTAAATAAACTCTACTCCCCCAACATGGAGCTCAAAGACAGGGGCTCAACGTCAAGACTCTCATGCACTACTGACCCAGCCAGGTGCCCCTCTCTCATTTTATATTCTGACATATATTCCTTTAGGAATCCGATACCAATCTCAAAAAGAGAACCAGAAAAACCATGCTGTTTGATACAGAGCAGTGACTGCAGTGTTCAAAGGTAGAGCACAAATGCAAAGGTTGTTCTGAAAACAGATATTGGGAATATCTTAAATCCATGATTTCATCTCTTTGCTAGGAAATTACCATCATTTCTCTTGTGGTTGCAGAGGCTGATATCCATGGGAATTGATATTATCTCAGAAAAAAAGTTGTAAAATGCAACTTACAAACAGCTAATAACAGTATCTATGTAGTTATTCAAAAGTGGTGGCAAAAGGGCACCTGGGTGGCTCAGTAGGTTGAGTGTCCAACTCTTGATATCAGCTCAGGTCTTGATCTCAGGGTCATGAGTTCAAGCCCTGTGTTGGGCTCTGCACTGAGTGTGAAGCCTACTTTAAAAAGCATGGGTGTAATATCATAGATGGTGAAAAAAGGTAATACCTTAGAGAAGTTGCAGCAATGTCTGAGAACAGATAAGAGTTAAGCTGAGCACATGAATAAAATGGTTATTCTTAATGTTTCATTCTCCAAAATGCGAATCTTTTTCATTCTTGAGAACGTTGAACAATACCAGCATGTAGGGAGAACCAAAGAGGACATTTACAGCAGCCAGAATCATCAAAAAATAAACTGAAGCTGAGGATCGGGTGATGAGTGTGATGTATGTTTGCTGATGGTAGATATTGATAATGGAGGAGACTTTGCATGTGTAGGTGAAGAGATATAGAGAAAAATCTCAGTACTTTCTGCTTAATTTTGCTGTGAACCTAAACTGCTCCAAAAAAGAAAGTCGATTTTTAAAATGCAGAGGGATTTTGTGAGCGCCTGGGTGGCTCAGTTGGTTGAGCATCAGACTCCTGATTTTGGCTCAGGTTGTGAATGATCTTGCAGTTCATGAGTTTGAGCCCCACATCGGGCTCTGCACTGACAGTGTGGAGCCTGCTTGGGATCCTCTCTCTCCCCCTCTCTCTCTGCCCTTCTCTCTCTCTCTCTCTCTCTCTCTCACAAAATAAGTAAACTTAAAATGCAGAGGAATTTAAACATGTATCTACTTTTGGGGCCACCTGGGTGGCTCAGTTGGTTGAGCTTCCAACTTCAGCTCAGGTCATGATCTTGTGGTTTGTGAGTTCAGGCCTCATATTGGGTTAGCTGCTGTCAGCTTGTCAGTGAAGAGCCTGCTTGGGATTCTTGGTCCCCCTCTTCCAGCCCCTCCCCAACTTGCACTCTCCCAAAAATAAATAAATATTTTAAAATAATAATAATAAATAAACATGTATCTATTTTTTTATAAACAAGGCAGGAAATAAGTAAAAAGTTATTGACATATCTTCATATAGGGAGGAGACATCAATCATCAGGAAGCAACAATTACCTGAATTTTATGTTATTGTTTTGACATTTCAACAAATGTAAACATTTTACCTAATTATAAAACAGTAATCAAAAACATTAAAACAAAAGCAATCTTTAAAAATATTCTGAATACTTGGAAAATTAGTGACATTTTCACATCAAGAGAGATTTGTTTATTAGATTTAAAAAGATAAACTACAGACTCTACATCACTAGTTGATTATTATCTTAAAGAAAAATACCTGAAAATATTCAAACTGTTTTCCATTATATTATTAGTAAATTAATGGCATTGACTTTTTAAAAAAAAAATGTTTATTTTTTTTTTAATTTTTTTTTTAACGTTTATTTATTTTTGAGACAGAGAGAGACAGAGCATGAACGGGGGAGGGTCAGAGAGAGGGAGACACAGAATCTGAAACAGGCTCCAGGCTCTGAGCTGTCAGCACAGAGCCCGACGCGGGGCTCGAACTCACAAACCGCGAGATCACGACCTGAGCCGAAGTCGGCCGCTTAACCGACTGAGCCACCCAGGCGCCCCTGTTTATTTATTTTTTAAAGAGAAAGAGACACAGAATGCAAGCAGGGGAGGGACAGAGAGAAAGGGAGACACAGAATCTGAAACAGCTTCCAGGCTCTGAGCTGTCAGCACAGAGCCCAATGCGGCACCCTAATCCATGACCTGTAAGATCATGACCTAAGCTGAAGTTTGATGCTTAACTGACTGAGCCACCCAGGAACCCATGGCATTGCTATTTGCAAGTATGAATGTTATTGAGAACCAAAGTTTTCATCCCAAGAGAAAAAAATGCAAATATAAGATCAAATAATTAAAATTGTGTAATTCTTTTTTTTTTTTCAACGTTTATTTATTTTTGGGACAGAGAGAGACAGAGCATGAAGGGGGGAGGGGCAGAGAGAGAGGGAGACACAGAATCGGAAACAGGCTCCAGGCTCCGAGCCATCAGCCCAGAGCCCGACGCGGGGCTCGAACTCACAGACCGCGAGATCGTGACCTGGCTGAAGTCGGACGCTTAACCGACTGCGCCACCCAGGCGCCCCAAAATTGTGTAATTCTAAATCCAACTAGAAAAATCATTATTACTATTCTCATGAGATTCATTAAAATGAGAAGTTTTTTGAAACAGTTCTTGATTGTTTACATTACATTAAATAATTAAAAATTTTAAAAGTAAAACACATTAAATTTGGAGGGGAAGAAAATAGTAAGTCTTAATAAACCAAAAATTTAACCATGGAAAAGAAAATCAGGTGTATGGAACATCCTAATGGCATTGGTCATTTCGTGTTTCATGATCATAAATCAGATTCAGTTAAAGATGGTTTGAGGAGAATGAATTCAGCAGTTAAGGTACATAGAAAATGAGCAAATGAGGCACCTGGGTGGCTCAGTTGGTTGGGTGACTGACTTTGGCTCAGGTCATGATCTCGCAGTTTGTGAGTTCAAGCCCCGCGTCGGGCTCTGTGCTGACAGCTCAGAGCCTGGAGCCTGCCTCGGATTCTGTGTCTCCCTATCTCTCTGCCCCTCTCCTGCTCACACTCTGGGTCTTTCTGTCTCTCAATAATAAATAAATGTTTTTAAAAAATTTTTTTAAAAGAAAAGAAAATGAGCAAATGAGTATAAGGAGATTTCCCACCACATTTGAATAGGATAGAAAATATTTCTGGAGAAATACACGAATTAAAAAGAGTGCTCTCAGTCTGTTATACAGCAGGTGATTCAGAGAAGCAAATATGCTAAGCAATGTACATGTATGGCCTAGTTAAAATAAGGGAAGGAGGGAAGAAGGGAGAGAGAAGACAAGAAAGAAGAGAGCAGAGAGTAAGTTCTCTGAGGTCTCTTATAACAACATTAATCCCACCATGAGGGCTTCATACTCTCAACCTCATTTAAACTCTATTTCCCAAAGGCCCCACCTTCAAATCCCATCACACTGAGGAACAGGGCTTCAACATATGAATTTAGGGTGAAGGAACATCATCCAGGCGGTGGTAATGACAAAGGCAGAAGCAAAGTTCAGGCTTTCTTCCCCTCCACCTGGCTGTGCAGAACACCAAGAATCGCCATTGGCCAGAACTGTCAACTACCGTGGGGGGCTCCTCAACCACCTACTTGCACAGCCCACTTATGTTCTCTGTATATG